AGAACTACAAGCGCAAACGTAGTTCAGTTTCATTGTGTATGTGTTGGTTTACACGGATTCAAAAACAGAGCAAAGCGCTGAATGGAGGGAAAGAAAACAAAAGAACTGCAGACATTGAATGATGCATTTACCTTTGTTTTTCTAGCTCTCAGAAATCAACATTTTTCTCTACTTGATTATGATTGCGAAAAAATATGTGGTCCAGTGTTCTCTCAACAGTGCTTGGTCGTGCGATTCTCTAATGCAACAAGATTTATAAATTTCAAACTGGTTAAATATAATGCGGAGTTTACAATGTGGAGAACCTCTTTAAGATTTAAGCTTTCATAACCTGAAGTATGAAAAGGAAACAAACTCATAGAGCATTTGTTTAGATTTGTGGCTTAGTGACTGAAAAAGTTTATAACCTTTGAGGAATTATGTTATCATCTGTAGGGTATCGAACAGACACTTGGCTATCTTGAGGCCTGAACCTCCACCAAGTATGGTGAAGACAGTGGTTGTGAATTTGACTTACACAAAAGCAATATATCTGTAATGTTAAAGAATTTTTTAGGAGGAAATGATGGAGATCTGTTGATAAGAATGCGGAGATAAAAAAAGGAAAACCACTTTAAGATCCAGGAAGAAAGAGATTAAGTGAGAAGCAATTATTAAACACATCTAGGCAGCATCTAAGTGGAGTTGTGGACAAGAGAATGATGAATAACTGTGCCACTTGTAGCTTTATGTTTACATATGTGAATAATGTATTGAATATAAAAGGTTTATGTTGTATGTGATGACAGCATTTTTTCAGTTATATTAGTGATTTTGTTTCGATTTAATTTGTGCAGACAAATTAAGTTCTGCATTGAAATTTTTTTGAGAATCATCTCTTTTCATTAACAAGTAGATCCACTGATTAGTGCTTAAGTGGTCTTGCAACTCTAGTAAATAGTTGGTTTTCTTTTTTAACTCTGTAGTTGTTAGTTTTGAGCACTTTCCACCACCACCTGCCGCTTTTGCTACAGGAGCATCTAATACTCTTTTCCACTTGCTTAAAAATGTGGTTGCCTTGTTATTTACCAGTGGCAGAATTGGGTGTTAATGAGATGTAGTCTCCAAACTCTCAACTGTTTCCGCTTTTGCAAGGCTCTTGCAGATTCTTGGTAGACAGCATGCTTATTTCTAGCTAAATTCTTTGAATAATATTAGCTTTGAGAATTTCTAAAAAGGTGTCGGACATCATTGATATTTTTCCTTATGCTTTCCCTTCTGGCTATTTCTATTGAAATAGACCCTCACTTTTCTTCATTTTCTTGATCTAAGTGGGTTTAGAGATTGAATTTTGGAGAATTAAGTCGATATGTTAGGAGTTGTGTTTAGGTTTGAACTATTAGTAAGTTGCCAACTTGTCACTAGAAGAAAATAGGATTTTGAAATGCTCTGTCCTCTCCGTTGGTGTGTTTTTGTTGTTTGGTGTTGTTTGATATGTCCTGTTGAGATGCTCAACATTTGCATTTTCTTGGTAGTTGATGTGATGTAGGATAAATTAGGTTCAATTTGCCTACTTCGAGATTAGGGTAAAACTTAGATCTCACACCTAAAGATTCTTAAGCCTCATATTTAAGGTTAGTTTGCATCACAAAAGTAGTAAGTTTGAGAAAATTCTCAAGAACATCTTATTACTAAACTTCTCTCAAAGGTGAGGTTAACTTTCCCAAATAGGATTAAATTAAGAATTCTCGAAAACATAAATACTAATATGACTAGAATATTATAATAGACTCCTAATATTACAATTTATAGTTTTTTTTCAGCATATAAGCTTTTTGGTTCGTAAGCCAAAATGGACAAAGCAAACACCAACGTGATGTTTTTTAGGTCAAACAGGCTTATAATAAAAGGGCAAACCAAACATTCTCAACAGTTCTAGAACTAAAAGACATATGGCTTATATTCATTTTTTCTTTGACCTTTCATCTATTTCCTATTTGGCCCTTAAGGTTTCAATGAATGCAATTCATGATTTAACCTTGTATAAGTTTAGTCATTTTATTATGTCAAAATTAATCAGAGTTGGCATATGTAGGTCACATCAAAAAAAATTTGATAACGTAGTGTAGCAAAAAAATGTTTGTATAACAGGTACATATTGCTAAGGTATCACGTTGTCTGCTGAGAACTTAATGAAAATCCAAGTTAATCATGAAATTTATAAAATGATACTTTATCCAAGTATTAATGGAAACGTAATACTTGATTGATGGAAACATAATTGGGATGCCATGTCATCAAAAGTTTGATGATATGGCATAGTTACGATAATTAATTCCAATAAACTGACATGAGGATTAATTTGGGATATTACTGAAAGTTTAAGTCCTTATTGCAGCCTTGACCAGATTAGGGAATTAATGAAAGGTCAGGGAGCAAAAATGTATTTGGGCCGAAGTATAAATTCCTAATCTACTTGGCAAATCTAGGGTAAATCCATTCTGCATTTTGATGCCATTTTGAGGATGTAATCTTTGAAAGAACTTTATTGTCGGGTGAAACGTTGAGCTTGACCTTCTATATTAATGAGTCACATAATATTACCATTTTAATATTTTAACTTGTTATGATGAACATAGTAATCAGGATGTAACGAAGGCCATAGAGTGTCATGACAGGGTTTTTTTTAGCATAAAGCTTAGATAGTTTCTGAAGTAAATGGCACTATGCTAGTAAATGGGACTGATAGGAATGGGTATTTCTTTTTCTGTTTTTACAATTCTATTATGTTTATTTTCTTTGACTGTATCTTTTCTATTTTATAGGTGTGGATATCAGTATGAACACACATCTGAAAACTGTGAAGCTAACGCTAAAGGGGAAGAATCCAGTGACTCTGGATCACCTTAGTGTGAGGGGTAACAATATTAGGTATTACATCCTCCCTGATAGCTTGAACCTTGAGACTTTGCTGGTGGAAGAGACACCAAGGGTCAAACCCAAGAAGCCAACTGCTGGTATTGCAATTGACTCTGTCCTCAAAACTCAGTTTACTGTGATGCGGATACTCTGTTTACTTTGTATATATAAGTACACAGTTGACAATGGTCTTTATGTGCTTTTGTGATAGCAGGGAGGCCATTGGGGCGTGGCAGGGGTCGTGGACGTGGGCGTGGCCGTGGTCGAGGTCGTTAGCCATGTTGCATCGGTTTCAAATTTTTGTAACAGCTGGTTATGTAAACATCTTTGCTGTAGGGAGAGTTTGATTATTGTTAGTAAGAGAAATAGTACTGATGTTCACCTTTTTATGTATTTGATGAGAGAGACAGAATCATGAATTTGAAGATACTTTGTTAATGGGATAGAGAATGAGTGTCTTGAGTGGCAAGTTGATATATTTACTTGTAAACTGAGACTGTATTAATGATGGTGTTGCCCCATATCAGACATATTTTTGTCTTGTCTAATTCGTTGTAAGAGCATGCAAGGGCTTTCTGGGGTTGATAATGCTTACCCGGAAAAGCCAGAGCTGGCCTAGACTATCATCGTAGACTTGCAGTTTTCACCGTTGCCGATGGTGGAGATTGTTTTTAGTCATATGGTAATTTACTTAAATTTATGTGTATTATTTTCTATGCTCTTTTCAGTGATAGTTTTCGTTTCTTCGGATTGCTCAACCTGGTTTAAATTTATTTATAAGAAATGTTGACCCTTCGACTCCTGGCCGCACACGTCATATCTGACGGCCACTGTTTATTCCTTAATCTCATCAATTTCCTGGTTTTAATTCCCAAGTAGTTCATAAATAGTACCTTGCAGTTAAAGAAGGAAGGCAAACGAGGGAAATGGATAAATCATCGAGGATCAAGGAAGCGGTGTTGGTGTCCGGAGCGATGGCCTTGTGTTGGCTGGCTATAGAAATCGCCTTGAAGCCTTTCCTCGGCAAGACTCGCGCCGCCATGGACAAGTCTGATCCTGCTCGCGATCCCGACGACTCCGACTCCGACTCCGACTCCAACCGATATTGACAAACCACCTTTCACAACCCCGCCGGCCGATTTCTAATCTGATGCCCCGTAAGTACTAGCTTTAGGTTTCCTGTTCTGTTTTGTTATTTAATTTAATTGTAATTCACTTGAGAATCTTGGGCTCCATTTTTTTTTTTTTTTTCTTTTCTCTGGAATGCGAATCGGTAAGAGCTTTCATAAATTAAAAAAAAAATGAAATTCTATTTAAAAAATGGAAGTTTAATCTAAAATCAAACCAAGTAATATAATTATGTTATGTGAAAAATTAGCTGACACGTTTTAAACCTCATTTATAGTGGAGAGCGGACAGGTGCAACTTGTAACCGCTCGTAGTACTGGACGTATAATATTAAATATTATTGAAATATGTCAACTGATAAATAAGTTAATGAATAATTTTTACTTAACATGGTAAAGAAACACGAATTATATTCTATATTCCATTGCGGTTGAAATTATGTTTTATTGAGAAAGCACCAACTGACCAACCATTTCCCCTAACCAGCCAACAATCCACCAACATGTTAATTCTTTTATTATTTAATTTAAATTCCGTACATAGCCCCCCCCCCCTGACTCTTCTTTTTTTTTCTTTTAAAAATTTTATTGAAGATATACCCAATTTATTTTTATTTAATTAATCACAATTCGATATAAATAATAAATATTTGATAATTTACAATAAGTATATATGTTTGGTCAAAATTATAAAAATTAAAAAATTATTTTACAAGACTTGGTTGGTTGAATCTGGATTTATCCAATATTTTTAAGACTACACCAAATTACTAATTAATACTTAACCATTAGTGCTTACCTAATTTTATTATTCTCCCAATAATATATATTTCTCAAATTTATTGTCAATTAAATAATAATTAAGCTAATTAATAACAATTTTTTTTAAAGATTTAATCATTTACTCTTATTAAATATTATTATATGGAATATATAGGTTTGAATATATATATATATATATATTTTTTTAGTATAAATAAATTAAAAAATAAATTTAATTCTTATCTCTCTCTCTCTCGATCGAGATTTTTAATCCACAAAACGACGCTGATTTACGGGTCCATCTCGCGGCACTGCTTACGTGTCAATAATTTTGTGGATACCCAACGTCACCGAACCGGCAACCACCGAACCGGTTTGAGGAACCGAAATAAAAAGCCGGCTCACTGCTTCTGGCTGACCTGGTAAAATCAGTCAGTGAAACTGAGAGCTGACCCAATTCATCTGTTCAAAAAATTATCTCATTGCACCAAACAATATCGGATTTTATACTGGATCCCTGTCTTCTGATCTGGCTTCTCTTTAAATTTTTCACGGAAAGAGACTCTGTCCTCTCCATGTTTCGTCCTCTGGTTTCTCTGTTTCACCTGTCATGAAGGGTACTAATCTGCAAGAGGAGTGTAAGTTCTTTTTTCTTTCTGCTCTTCCTAGCCACGCCCTTTTATTTTCTTTGAAAATAATATATATATATATATTTTCCGTTTCTTGTTTGTTTCTTCTGATTTTCATGGTGATTGGTTGACATTTGCACTTGGGTTAGACCTAGTTTTGTTGTGATGACGACATTGTCTTTGACTGTTCTAGTCTACTAGAAAGAACTGTATTTTAAGAGTATTATGAACTTTTGAAGGTCGTTTTTTGAATATCAAAATTCAAAAGAACCAGAGCTTCTACAAGTGTGTGAGACGAGATTCTGGGTCCTTTTTAGCAAATAATTTCTGTCTTGTCATTGCAATTTTACATGCTGTATTTGGTTAGTTCATAATTAGCTGAGTGAGATGAAATTTTACCTGTCGTGATCGCAAAATAGAGGATCTGTAGCTGGTTTAAGACCATTTCAGAGCTGGTTTTTGGTGCCAGAACTTCCAATCTATGAATGAGTTCCTGATTCACTTGCTAGTTCAGATCACTTGGCATGCAATATACAATTTAGGTTTTAGGAGATTGGGGACATTAACATTGTCTTAATCAGCGCCGAGTTCATCTGCAGTAGGTGTGTTGCTTTCGGTAAGGAACTTGCTCCAATGTTAATCGCAAGTATTTTTACACTCGTTATACTAGTATTATATATTGCTATCTACTTGTATAGAATTGTTGGAGTCTGTTGCTGCATATACAATGAAATTTCATGTGCTTGGTTTAATCCATAATGGAAGATTTTCAGAATTTTCAGTATCCAAAAAGAGTTGTTTCTTTTTCTTTTTGAAAAATTTCTGGGTTAGAATGTCATTGCATTCATTAGAACCACATGTTCTCTGGGAAGTTGATGTTGTCTGATATTTGCAACCTGACGGGGTTGCCATTTCTGTATTTTAAATTGGTTATGAATCTTTCAAGTTTGTCATGACCTAGATAGTAATAGATATTGGAAGTAATCAATCATATATGTCTATTTTAGGTTTGTTATGGGTTAAGAAAGTTGTTTTGGTGAGTGAAATTTAATCTTTAGTTTGTTAGCCTTAAGTTGTTTTAAGTAGCTTAATGTCAGGTATAAGCTGATGTCTTGTATTTTCTGGCCATTCAATCAAACATCAAAGAAATAGCAATTTCTCTCTTGACAGATTTATTACCTTATTCCATTATTCTTCTCGGCTTCTTCTTCTATTCTTTGCTTTCTTTCTCTATTCCTTGCTATTCTTGTTCTCTTCTTAGGTCCAGCGGGAATCTGACAAATGGTACCAAAGCAGTCAGTTCTCAACTATTCTTTCTATGCTCTGATTCTCTTGTTGTCCTTCTTTCTTTGTTTGGATTTCAAACTCAACCAGCTTCTAATCGATCATTCTGAAATTCTTTAATGAATATTAATTACCCTTAGTTGGCATGAAACTAGATTGCACATCAAGTTTCTGTGCGATATAGCTAACAATGGGCTGATAAAAGAATTTGAGGAGCTGATGGATAATCCTCTATTTCATTGTGGATTTGGTGAAGGTATATCATCAATGCTGAAAAGTAGAAATGTGGGTGATCATAGAGATCATGAAAATCCAAAAAATGATTGAGGTGGTGTTGATGTAAGAAAGGGACATTTTCTTCGGCTTTGTGAACTTCTATGAAGGATGGGCATCCTAAAGTAGAAGGGGCAATTATAGTCGACCATATGCAAAATGAAAGTATTGTTTTAAGTAAATTGGAGAATTGTGCACACCATGTCTTTGTGAGAAGTCCAATTTCAAGGATCCATGCTTTTGGCAGTTCATCCTCCTATTTTAGCAACTTACTCCTTTTAATGCTCCAAGTCCACTTATTGATGATGTTGTTATGAGGTCAACAACTTCAAATCAAGCTGCTTAAATGCAAGAAAAAACTGTTCAATCTTGTGTTACTTACCTTTTGGAACATGTAGACTATCTAGCTCTTGAAGGGTTTCGGAGATTGATAGAGGATGACCTAGAATTTAACATGTGAGGAAAAACTTCAAATCTGATTTTGAAAGGTTTTTGTGAAGATTGTTTGTAATATCTGTGGTGGTTCAAATAGAAGAGGTGTCAGAGCATGTTAAATTGGCTGGTAAAGGTGGCTTGATAAATGAGCATTAGATGTTTGTTAAAATTCCTTACCAAACGTTTTGCCTGAGAATGTCATCTGAGCCAAGTATCAGCAGCAAGCATACCAAAGGATGGCACCACTGCAGGACATCATGAAGCTGTCAACAATGAGCTGGTTTGAAAATGAAAATAAAATTTATACTCTATTTATGGAAGGTGATTGTTCTTTAAAAATTCAAACAAGTTTGGGGTGCAACAACCACTGAACTTTACTGAACTATGCTCTGGTATGTAATATCACCTTTATAAATCGTTGTTGCTGAAACTTGTCAAGTGGAGTCTGATGAATGCCCAGTTCAAAATGGTGATTTGATTGTTCACCATCTCTTTATTGCTCCTTTTATCTTTAGTAGTTAATTGCTTAGCATCTCTTGGTTGCTCTTTCATTTGTGGCTAACTTACATCCTTGAGGATAAGGATGATTTTTGTGGGAAGGGCAATATTTTGACCTAGATAGTAAGGATATTTCAGAAATAAGAAAATTATTATGTATATTTTGTGTTAAGAAAGTTGTTTTGATTAGTAAAATTTAGTCTTTTAGTTACTTAGCCTTAAGAACAAGTTGCTTAATATCAGCTATTTCATATAAAAGTAGCTTAATATCAGCTGATATCTTGTAATTTCTTTTTATTCAATCAGATATCAAACAAGTATTAATTTCTCTCTTAATTTTCTCTCTTTTTCCTCTATTCTTCTCAACTTTTTCTGTTTTCTGCTTTCCTTGTTGGTTGGCTCTTTTATAACTTGTGGATCCATTTGTATGTCTGCTTTCTCCATATGTTAGGATTTACTAATTTAAGCTAAAAATTTCTGGTAACCTCTTTTTTTGAATAGATTCAGTTTCCGTGCATTTCCTAAACATTTTCTGATCAGAGTGTGCAAAATTTCTCTGCCTGCCTTTTGGATCTTGGACATCCTTAATGTTTCAACTTTGTGGAACATTTAAAAGTGAAAAATGGAAGACAACTAAAGTGCACCTATAATATACATTTTTCCTCGAGCTTGCTTTACATATATATTCTTGAAATGTCCTTTTCTGAAAGGGACGTCCTATTTGCAATTATGTTGTATTCCGAATCTTATATGCTTCTCTGATCAGGGGTCGATAAACATGTCCGTCGCACCAGTTGAGAGTATGGCATCATTGAGCAGTGATATCTTCTATGATATACTGAGGCGTCTTGATGGTCCAACTTTGGCTTGTGCTGCATGTGCTTGTGCAGCATTTTGTTCAATATCGAAAGAAGAGAGATTGTGGGAAAATGTTTGTTCTTCCATGTGGCCTTCGACTAACAGGGAGGATGTCAAAAGTTTGATATCCATGATTGGTGGATTCAGAAAGTTCTATGGAGATTGTTTTCCTCTTATTGTTAACAAGGAAGTTTCGGAGTACCGTTGTAATGATTTTGTTGAATATCCTAATGATTGGACCGAAGCTGAGTACTATGGTGAAATGGATGAATCAGAGAGTATTTCACCCTCAGATTTTGTGTCTATCGTGGACATCAGGTATAAAGATAAACCAATCTGTTCAAAAGTCCTCTGGGGTCTTCCTAATGCAAATGGATCTGATGGTTGGTTTTACAACTGCCCATTTCGGATTGATCTTCTTACTTATGCAGCTAGGGATGATGACAGTGAAGGGGAAGTTACCCTTTCTGTTTCTGATGGTCTTCCACCGATAACATCTATGGAGAAAGAAAGGAAAGATGGGAAACTATGGAGAGAGCTTCGTGATGGACTCCGTCTCAGCTGGATTGTTGTGAACAAAAAGATAAAGCAAGCCGCTAATCTTGCAAGCTGGAGCCCTCTTGGTGGACAGAGGCATTGGCCGACGGATAAAGATTTTGTGATACGTTTTGGGTCAATTCTTCCTGCAAAAGATATTCTCCCATGTCAAGTGGTAGAATGCATCCTTATCATGAAGTTCAGAGTCATCCATACGGAGGGAGAAGGTGTTCAGACGACACTGAAATTAACCGAACTGAGCATGCAATTAGAAGATATGGAAGGTGCTCATGTAAATGGAAGAAACAGTTTACTTATCCTCAAGGAAGCGCTGAGCTGTCGGCGGAGCAAAAATTACAGTGAAGTTGTTGAGTCTTGCCATTTGTACTCAAAAGTACAGAGTGAACTCAAGGAGGAGAAGATGAGAAATGAAAGCAGATTAGACAGACTCTGTATCTTGAGTGGTATTACTGTGTTCGCCATTTTCTGGTTCTACATTTTGTAAAGTGGACCCTTAGCTGAAGATGTTCTAACAAATTACCTTCAACATTTTTCTACTTGCTTCATGAAAAAATTAATTTTGTTTCAACCAATAAAAGTTGCTGCATATACGCATATGTTGCTTTGAGAAAGATAATCTTAAATCAGTTTAGTTTTGAGTATGTGTGAATAAAAGAGCATTGTTGAACACAGGTCTATTCTGGGAGGCACCCACATGCTTGTTTATAGTTGCAAATGCACCCACCAAACCATGACGATAAAACATATACATTCATGCAATTCCCTGAAACAGAATTGAGTATATTTGCATAGTTGCTTAAGACTCATTTTCTCATGGTAGAAAAATCTTTCTTGCTCCTTCCATGAGTAATTGCCTGATGGTAGACACATTTGGTTCGAACCGAACAATCCGGTCCAGTCCAATCTTTTAATTGGGACTCAGAAATGTGTGCATCCCTAATAGTAGATCAACGACTCTGTAAAAGATCTCAATCTGAGACTCTCCAAGTTCATATTGAAAATACGCGAATCGGAAAGGCAAACATGCCAGCAATTGGATCAGATTCTGGAGCTTCTATGCGGTAACACGCTACTCTCCTATGTAAGCGCACTAGGAGAAGCTTCACAATAAGTTCATAAGTTCCTAAAGCTGGACAAAGCTTCAATTAGAGCAGAAGGTTGTTCCACACCGTCGGACCACAAGATCGAGGAAATGAAGACATTGTCGCGAGTGAGCTGTTGTTTTTCTCCTCCATCTGCATTAGCTTCTACAGTCGTGAGCAACAATGTTTCCTGTCCTACCACGTGGAAGAATTGTCCATCATCTTCAATTGAGAATCCGTTCTACCTACTCAAAATTTTTCTTCTGTTGATGAAGAGGTAAAAGTGGGATTGTAGAATCCGCTATGGTTGAGAAGCTGGATGAATTTGTAGAGGAGCCAAAACATGTTAAAAATATTGGAAATGAAGGTACTAGGTGGTTTGGTGAATGAGCATGAGGTGCTTGTTAAAATTCTTGGCAATGGTTTTATTCTCCTAGCCTGCAATGTTGATTGCGTGCCATATTGATTATTGAACTTCGTCAAATTCTTCATTAAGCTACTTCTCTGCTATCGATGCATGCACAAATTGAGAAAGACAGGATGATAAAAATACTTTTGTAGCTGCAGAAAATCTATTTGGTTCCCTTACCGAACAATATAATCCTAGTTCCACCTTTCTCTTAATATGAATTTTTGTAGATCATTTAACAAAACAGATCTGAAAAATCAACCCTCTACGAATGGAAGCATACTATCAGATTCACCTAGCATGGTTACGAGGTTGCATCTAAAGAATGGGACATCCATCAACTGAGACACCTTTGGCGGTAGAACAAGTAGCCAATGGACAGTCCATAAACACCACCAACTCCTAGAGTTAACATTGTTAATGCACCCGACATAGCAACTCCAGCGTCAAGTGCATTTGCCAACACATAATTATAGGTTGGCCACCAGTTTTTATACCTCCAGTACACAAAACAAACGTAGTGCAAAATCCCAACTGCAGACCAATTCCAGTAACTTGCAGCAGAAGCCACAGGCCAAGACGCCATTTCGGATAGTATATTAGGAACGTTGATAGATTTGAGCCATTTCTTTTGAGGGAAAGACTTTAACAAAACCCAGACAAACACAGTTGCAAAGAAACCAATAGAGGTTTGAGTATAAACCGTTTGGAAAAAATACTGCGATTTGGACCAACTGTGGACTCATACACAACAGTAAAGCTTGGGCATGTCCAAGGACTACCTTTTGGTAATCTTTTTGGATCGCAGATGTTTTCAATGTTTGAAAGCATCCGCCAACATGTTCCAAGAGAAATAAAAGTTGTTACCAGGGTGCCTGCCAACTGAGCAACAAACATAGTTTTAGGTGGAATCTTCATGTAATGAGCAAACTTGAGATCACTAATAAAACCAAGAGCTTGGAATTCACTCCGCAGTGTGTAATATTTGAAGACCAAAAGGCTAATTGGTCTACCAGGATAGATGTATCCAAAAAGCATTTCCAAGAGAATATGTAGGGAAATGGACTGCAAAAAGGTTTACAAAAAAATTAACGTTATTATTACATTGGGGATGTAATTAATTCCATTGTGTATATATATACATACATACATATATATATATATATATATATATATTCAGAACTTAACTAAAAGTTACCTGGCCAGTTGTTGCTTGAAGTATACCCAGAGAGAGAAGGAAAACAAACACGAAAGTGCAGGATAACAAAAATTTCCCAGTATGGAAACTGCAGGTCGTTCTTATATATTTGACACGTAAAAATTGCGAGACTTGCCATTGACACCAAGATTGCCAAAAACCACCATTGAGGAACATGATCATACTTGTTCATTAGCCTATTATGGACATCTCAAGCTCTAGTACTATTATTCAATGCTTGCTTAAATTGCTTCCATGTTTACCCTATAGGAAACGAATAGGAGTATGCAATTTATCTCAATATAATTAATTGGCTGGCTAGACATGACTAATGAAAATTGAACGCATAAAAAAAATAATAATCAAAATAAGTACTTCCATGAAATAGACAGAAATGAGAAAGAATTGCAGCGACACTTGCAAAGGACAAAACCAATGTAGAAGAAATAAACCACACTAACGTAAATCTTGGAGTAGTTATCGTATTTTTCTTGGTTGAATGTTAAGTCCTGCTCATTTATAATCCTCGAGACATTATAAGTTTGACCATTATATTGTTAAAAGGTAGTGCTCGAAAATGGGAATCGCTGTGCGTTGTATAAGTTAAACCAGTATGCTAATGGGGTAACAACATCAAATATGATAAAATCTCTAAGTACCTTATCTTTAACAATAAAGGAGGAGAGGAGTAGAGTTGGTTCATTTTATACTCAATAAATGTTTTTCTTGACATGAATGGTTAGAATAGATTGAAATAAATCTAATAATATTATGTATCACTTGCACCAGAGTAGTATGGAAACCATCCATCAATGTTTACGACAAATGCATTAAATGGCTGCTTGGTGCTTTTCAATAGTGACTAGCAACTAGGATATTGTACATATTTCAATATAAAATTTGATAATAACACTCCTTGTTCACAAGAATTATTATATATATATATATATATTTTTTGGTGTCAGACTGTAAGCTACTACTCACTTGATTGTTTATGAAGGAAGAAGTTGCACCTCAACTCAAATAATAATAAGTAAGTTGGAGAAGGAGAAGGAGAAGGAAAAGGAGAAGGAGAAGGAGAAGGAGCTCTTGACGAAAGAGGACTTGGGTTG